CGTCGATTACTTACCTGCACGGAGGTAGCAACGACAATGACGAGGATGGCACGGCGCGGCGACGAGGACGAAGGGCACGGCGATGGCGACGTGGCATGAAGACGACGATTGCAACGATGACGATGATGACGCGGCACGACAGCGAGGATCACGACGATGACGTGGCACTACGACAACGATCATGACGATGATGCTGATGATGGCTAGGTGGTGACGACGAAGCAGGGTGGGTCGGGCGGGTTCGAACTGCTCCGATACCAGTGTGATGAGTGCGAGGCTGAGGGAGACAGGGAGAGCCGAGGGAGAGGAGAGAGAGAGAGAGACAAAGAGAGAGAGTGAGAGCACACACACACACATTCACTCGACACGACTGAGGGACTCGACGGACGCAGACACAGTGGCAAAGACACAAAGTAGAAGTCTTGGATTCCTAATGCCGAAACAGGGGCAAGTCACACTGAGTAAGAGTACAGCAGCTGAAAACTGGTCCGAGACTGGTTCCCGTACTGTACGGGGAGCCGGTATAAGTACCGGTGACACATACGGTACCAGGGGCATTTCCGCAAAAGCCCCGTCAGAACTGAAAAATGCGGTATTTGAAAGTGGCGCCCGAATTGCAGCATGGCGCCAGTTGTCCAAAATCTGACGATACCAAAGTAGGGGTTTGGGAAAAAAAAGGGTGCCAGGCCGAAAACGGGATGCAGCAGAAACAGCAAAAAGATAGACTAGGGATCGAGCCTTGGCGGAGTCCGTAACAGCTCCTCCAGAGTGCTGCTGCCGAATCTTGAAGACTGCCTCCTGCCTCCTGCGCATGAAGTGCCTGTGAACTGCCTGGGAAGTCCGTATGAACTACCTGCAGCCTGCAGGGTGGGCCAGCTCTATATAGTGCTGGCCCATCCGGGAGGCTGCTCTTGCCAATGCCGAAACGTGCCAGACGCTGGTGTTGAAGTTCAAACAAAGGTCGTCTTGAAACAGGCCCAAAAATGACCTGTGCTAAACCCTGGTCTGGCACCTGAGTTTCAGGGCAGGTCGACTTTATGAGGGCCTGAAAATGGCCCTCGTTTTCAGGCTTTTAAGCTCAAACGACACAGGGCCTGGAGGACCCTTATTTTCCGTCTGGTCGGGCCCTGCCGGCCCGTGTGGATGCGCAGTATGCCACACAAAGTCATCAATCTCTCTCTCTCTCGTAGTCTGCAGATACTCGGAAGTCGGGTACCGAGAGGGTGAGGGAGAGATGGTGGACTTAGAAGAGGAAGAAGAACTCTCTCTCTCTTTCTCTCAGTCCGGTACTAACCTGTGAAGGTGGCGCCTTGTTGCGGGTACATCGAAGACGAAGCTGGAGCTATGGCGCCACAAGGTAAGTCTCCCTGGCTTCCGCCAACTCTCTATCTCCGACGCTACTCTAACCTCCTAATAGCGCCCAGAGCTGAAGACTACTCATTAATCCTACTACTTTACTGCTGCTGCTGAATGCTGAAGACTGCCTCCTGCCTCCTGCCTCCTGCACGTGAAGTGCCCGTGAACTGCATGGGAAGTCCCCGTGAACTACCTGCAGCCTGCAGGGCGGGCCAGTACTATATAGTGCTGGCCAGTCCGGGAGGCTGCTCTTGCCAATGCCGAAACATGCCAGACCCTGGCGTTGAAGTTCGACCTGAATTCGAATCCAGACTATATATTCTTAGCCCATGCAGACAAATCAGAAGTCTAATGTTCATCTCTGCTCCACGAGGGGTCCTTGCTAATTCGTACGGGCCCTTCGGAAATGAGACTGGACACAATTAGGACCTGCACACCCACACGCACACACGTGCTCACGGTGTTGGGTTATGGGGTGGCCCCAACATTTTTCCATCTTGCAGTTTGATGTTCGGAAGCAGGGGTCAAGTTTGGCCACCCCACCCTGTCCTTTCAATTTTTTTTTTATTTTTTTTTTTGGGTGATGTGGCGCATCACGTGCGCTGTGCGCCGCATGTGCCGCGACCCCGCGCACGGGATGCACCGCAAGTATGGTCTATTCACAAAACTTGCAGTTTTTGAAACATCCATCCATCCTCACACCCTCCGTAATAAACACAACAGCTACGCAGACACTACTTGGAGCGCATGTTTTTGAAACTACCAGATGCCAAAGTTGTTCCTAGACAACTCCTAGGCCTTGGAGATTCTTGGCAATCTTCTACCGTGTTCAGTGTAAGCTTCCGTGGTTTGTGGTCTAGGGCTTGGAACTGGAGACCTCGACGTGTTCACAGATGGAACTAGCGTGAGGGTAATCAGAAACCTTAGTTGCCTTTCGAGATTCAATTGGAATGACGGCCATCAGAAACACTGTGGACCATAAGGACAATAATGCACTGTCATGAA